AAGATATAGTTACTTATTTGTGAACGCAATCCAATTCTAATTATTAGATCTTTAAATCATTTTATTTAAACTTATATTTTATATTGGTATTCACTCATTCCTGTAACCCCTTTTTACCAAAAGATTTTGCAATAGATCAGCTGCTGCTGGCAAACAAATCCCGATAAGTGTTTGGTTCTTTTAATATTTTAATAAAATGAGTAAAATACACGTGTATGTTTAAGGGCACTTTCTTCATATTTTATCCTAATTTAATACAATTACAAATTGGTATTTTTATTTCAATGAAAGCTCTCTTTAAGAAACGATTCTTTAAAGTAATTCGCTCCTATCAGGTTGTCGTTGGTGTTTAATCCAACAAATCTAAGAGATTTATGTATGCATACACAAACTTAACATTCGCCTTAAGTCACTAAGAGATACACAGGCTTGTTGGATTAAAATATTAAGCTATGAAGCTCAACAAACAGGCTGAACACCGGATAGGTGTGCGAGATAAGTTACGCAGTTGAATTTTACTTTGGCTTTGAATGCTTTTGCGAAACTGTGGTTGAAGCCAACTTCCTTGACTCCCGTTCTACTTCTCCTAATATGACGTACAAAGAAAGTTAAGTAATGTTCCAAAATTAAGGAAGGAAAAAAGTGTATTTCTGAAGTAAAATATACTTTTTTTAACCGTCTTGAACGGACAAACGTGCAATTTTTTGATAGAAAAGCTCGTTTTGTGGTTCTCTGATACCGAATAAGTGGGTAATTCTTGTATACGCATTAAATTACATTTTTTTATTATGCTGTGTAGTCAGAATACACGTTTTGAGGTTTCTTAATATCAAGAAAGTAGTTGTCAATACGTCTGTTTGCCCGTCCGTTTGTCGGTCTGTGAACAACACTAGCATCTAAGCCGTTCACAGGACTTCCACAAAAATTTATATTCTCCGATAGATGTGGCTTAGGTTGCAACCCCTCGAATTTAAAATGGCCTACCCGCATTCGGAGAGGGGGGCACTTAATATGAAGCACTAACGACATTTTCGAAATTGTCTCAGAAATGTTTCCAAATCATTTTATTAAATTTCTTTGCGTGATGAGAGCAATGCATACTGGTAAAAATGACCCTGGTGAATTCTATTATAGTTCTTGTGATATTTATTGTAATCGTTTAGGCACACTGCTTTCTAGAATACAACAGCGTGCATTTTGGAATTTAAATCCACCACTCAGTCCTTCGAATTTTGTTGTTTGTCAACAGTCCGTTGCGTTTCAGTTACGGGATAATATATCTATTTTTAGATGTAGATTTTTGTAGTACCAATATTTCAGATCTCCAATAGTTTATTTGTGAAAACGGTTTTACGAAAATGTAATATTTATGCTAACAGTATTTTAATTAAAATAGTCGCCAAGTAAACTAAAAAATTTGTAAGAGGCGGCCTTGCAAAAATTACTAAAAGTTTTCTAGAACTTCAGATCTCCAACTGTGCGACGTACAAAAAATTAAATAATATAATAGTGTATATTCAGTTTTGATGGTTCTATTATGTATCAATATAAAACTGCAGAATACGTGACTTTGAACAAGAGTTAACTTTACAAACTCGCATGTTAAATTCTTAATTTTCAGTTTCAGTGATTTTTGAAAGTAATTATAATACGGATTGCTTTAATAGACAATTATACAAACTTATTTGTGTTGCTCTAGCGCAGTCACTCTATTCCTATATATCGTAAGTTACTTTCTCCAAGACGTTATGTAGTCAAAATTCATGTTTTATAGGTCTTTGACGCCACAAATTGATTGAAGGCAAACGTCTACGTCCGTCAGTCTGGGGTCAACTCCAACGCCAAAACCATTCAACAGATTTTCTCCAAAATTGATATTCCTCGATCGCTTAAAAAAATCGATACCCTGTGAGTTTCAAACATATAGTTTGAATTTTGGGGGTTCTTTGCATGAAGCCTCAATAACAATTTAATGTTTTTAAATAATGACTCCGAATTTTTGGATTTAACTTCGTTATTGGATAATGAAAAGGACTCTTAAAAGAATGCCGCATATTTACTTTTCCTTGAAATCTCTGATTGTTTGAAAATTACAAAAGATAAAAAGTTTTTCGGCGTCTTTCTATAACTACAATATTGAAGTGTGAGATTTTTTAAAATTAAATCCGTTTCCCAAAGACATCTTGAAGTAAGGTCATTCACATTTTCTTTCCGAAATGCGAATAGTTGGTAGTCAATTTTTAAACAATTATTTTCTCAAAATAATCTCCAAACGTTTCCTTTAAATTTTCTCCTCCGTTGTATCAAAGAACGAAAAAAAGTTGCGCTATTCCCACTTCCGACGAACTCTATTTTCAAAAATTACAAAAAAGTAACATTGGAAAAGTACAAGTTTGAAGATGGAGATTTTTGTTTTAAAATCGGTTCTAGAAAACAGCTCTTTAAAGAATATCTTGTTCATTTTTTTAGAAAGAATGGTTTTCATGCAGTTTTTTCTTGATGTTAATGCAAAATTATAAAAAAAGTTATTAAAAACCGCCTCAATTAAAAAAATACACCAAGAGAACTATGTGCATTGAGAAAAACGTCGAAGGTCTCATTTTCGTTGAACACTGAATTTTCGAAAATGGCAAAAGTTTGAAATAATGGGAGAAAGCATGTGCTGTTGTAGCCGCGTTCTTACTTAGGTTTTTTTAAATCTCTCATCTACAAATACTTGTTTTGTTTCTCATTGCTTCAGTAAATTACTTTTTAATTTTTTAATACAAACTATTAAGTACAGTAGATTATTTGATTAATTATTTTTCAGATAAAAACATATTTTAAGGCATTTTTTAGAATATTTTGTTTCAAAAAATCTGGTGCGTGGCTCCTCATGGATGGCCCAAAGCAACTTCATATTTCGTCATCAGGGAAAGCCAACTCTTCACTTACCTTTACCCTGAGTATTTGATTTTAACACGAGCAAAAAAAAAAAAAAAAAAAAAAAAAAAAAAAAAAAAAAAA